ATATTCAGAAATACTAAGAATAGCTCGGACATGCACAGACAGAGAAAAACTTCGAAGACAGGCAAAATCCTTACATTCTATAAACCACTAACTCTGTGTGTCGGTTTGTATGTATGTATGTATATATGTATGTCTGTCCGTCCGCAAAATGCTTCACGGGTTAGAATTAGTGGAAGGAAGAACGACCGCTAAGCAAACCGGAACCGATTTTTGCAGATGTATCAATCCAATGTTTTGATTAGGATAACAGCCTCCCCTATATAAGACAACCATTCGGTACACTCCGAGCCATTGCACGAGCTGCTGGCGTGGCAGCTGGACGTGTGCTCGTGCGGGGGCAGGGTGGGGTGGGGCCGAGAGAGGGGGGGGGCACTGCCCCCCCCCCCTCTGCTTCCTTCCCCTGCGCGTGCTCAGCCCGATCTGAGCATGCGCAAGAGAAGGAGCAGGGGACGGTCCGACTGGAACACTGGGGCGTTTTTTCAAGATATGATATAGGTTATGGCACAGGAACCTGTGGGTGACAAGATTTGCTAGCTGATAAAGGGAGTTAGAGTGGAAAGCACAACATACTCATAACGCGGTACACAGCATCAGTTAGGCGTTGATTTCAGCAAATGATATCAAGGGGAAGGTGGAGAAGGCGACGGCGGGTGACAGGAAATGATAACTGATAGGGTCTGATAGAGAACGATGCAGTTGTTGCTCAGTCAAATGCTGAAGCCTCTACACCACGAAATTATGGAGTTTTAGTGATAGCGACATTGATGACGGGTGACAAGCAATTTTATCAGTTGATAAGTAAAGATAAGGGGACATTCTCACGACATCTCTGACCACTATACTGCCAAAAAAGCCTCTCAGTAAGCGAAATTTTCCCACAGCCATCACTCCTTTGATAGCACTAAAAAATGTACTCATCCCACTATCCTTCTATTCTATAAAGCAGAAACTTTGTGTGTCGGTTTGTCGGTCTGTATGTATGTATGTATGTATGTTTGTCCGTCCGCAAAATGCTTCACGGGTTCGAGTTCGCTGGAGGCGAAAACGACCGCTAGGCAAACAGGCAAATCGGTGCGGAAGTATCAATCCAATGTTTTGATCGTGATATCGGCCTCCGCTATATAAGACAACCATTCGGTACGCTCCGAGCCATTGCACGAGCTGCTGGCGTGGCAGCTGGACGTGTGCTCGTGCGGGGGCAGGGTGGGGTGGGGCCGAGAGAGGGGGGGCACTGCCCCCCCCCCTCTGCTTCCTTCCCCTGCGCGTGCTCAGCCCGATCTGAGCATGCGCAAGAGAAGGAAGCAGAGGGACGGTCCGACTGGAACACTGGGGCGTTTTTTCAAGGTATGATATAGGTTATGGCACAGGAATATGTGGGTGACAAGAACTGCTGATAAAGGGAGTTAGAGTGGAAAGGACAACATACTCATAACGCGGTACACAGCATCAGTTAGGCGTTGATTTCAGCAAATGATATCAAGGGGAAGGTGGAGAAGGCGACGGCGGGTGACAGGAAATGATAACTGATAGGGTCTGATAGAGAACGATGCAGTTGTTGCTCAGTCAAAAGCTGAAGCCTCTTCACCACGAAATTATGGAGTTTTAGTTATAACGACATTGATGACGGGTGACAAGCAATTTTATCAGTTGATAAGTAAAGATAAGGGGACATTCTCACGACATCTCTGACCACTATACTGCCAAAAAAAGCCTCTCAGTAAGCAAAATTTTCCCACAGCCATCACTCCTTTGATAGCACTAAAAAATGTACTCATCCCACTAGGGGGGTATATACTTCGCCTGAAACAGGAAGTTTGGAAAAATCAAAAACTTCAATATTGGAACACACTTTATGCGTTCAGTGAGTATTTAACTTCTTTTTTGCTTTTCAACTTTTAATCACTGATGAGAACGAATAACGAAGTAGTTTGTGAGATATTGTTTTTGAGTATGCCTGATGTATGCAAGTATGAGGGGTGCAGATTTCGCTAGGTTACTCTGTCTATTATGATTCAACCACTACTGCGCAATTTGAGCAGCTCATGCAATTCACAAATTCCATCCCGTTATGATGTGCGCCTGGCGAAGCCTGGCCAGCTCGGCGAAGCCGAGCTACAAAGAAGGAGGAGCGCCCCGGCGGCAGCTGGGCGATCCGACTGGCGATCAAAGAGGAACGAAGCTCAAAGAGAACTCTAAGAGAGCTCAGATATTTACGAACGCAGCCTAAATATTGTCATCTGCAGCCATTCATGCAACCTTGCAGGTGGATTGCATGTTAATGACAAGTTAATCGCCCACGTTGGTGTTGTGATGCAGGTAATAAAAACGGAATTTGTTCATCTACTGTGCAACACATATTGATATTCTGTACTTCCTATATACTTCTAAGATCTACGTATAGAATGGGCGTTATGGCCGAAACCAGCACGCCTTCTGCAAATATGAGGGGTACAGATTTCGCTAGGTTACTCTGTCTATTATGATTCGCCACTAGCGCGCAATATGAGCAGCTCAGGCAATTAACAAATTCCTTTCCGTGCGCCTGGCGAAGCCAGGCCAGCTCGGCGAAGCCGAGCTGAAAAGAAGGAGGAGAGCTCGGCGTCAGCCGGGCGATCCGACTGGTTATAAAAGCAGAGGACAAAAAACAACACAGTGTCACAGTTACTAATCCTAAGAACTATATTTACGTACGAATCCTTACATTCTATAAAGCAGAAACTTTGTGTGTCGGTTTGTCGGTATATGTATGTATGTCGGTTTGTATGTCTGTCCGTCCGCAAAATGCTTTACGGGATTAAACACGTTAGTGAAAGAAGAAAACGACCGCTAGCCAAACCGGGAACCCATCGGTGCAGATGTATCAATCCAATGTTTTGATTGTGATAACAGCATATATAAGACAACCACTCGGTACACTCCGAGCCATTGCACGAGCTGCTGCCGTGGCAGCTGGACGTGTGCTCGTGCGGGGGCAGGGTGGGGGTGCCAGGTCGCCCTGCCTCCTTCTCCTGCATGTGCTCAGCCGGAGCTGAGCACATGTATTGGAGGGAGGCAGAGGGAAGGGGTCGCGGGGAGGGGGGTACAGTGAGGGGTGCGTAGCGCGTTTCAGTAGAAACGCACACCAAGGATGAGGAAACAACCGCTAACAAAACTGCAAGCCATGTTACCGTAACGAACTAAGAAGTTGTTTTGGTTGTGATAACACTCTCCACTATATAAGAAAACCACTACACTCCGAGCCATTGCACGGGTTGCTCGCGTGGCAGTTGGACGTAAGCGCGTGCAAGGGGCAAGGTGGAGGGGGGGGGGGGTGGAGTGGCGAGTACGGAATGGGGTGAGGTGAGGAAGGTGGGAGTTAGTATCGAGTGACCCCCTTCTCCCATCCTCACTTCCTTGCGCGTACTCAGTCGGATCTGAGCCCATGCAGGGGAAGGAGGCATATGGATTGAATCGGGCAAACTGGGTACAGTAAGGGGATGCGTAGCGTACGCTTGGATAGGAGCAGGCGGCAAGACAGAAGGAAAGAACCCTAGCAAAACTGCAAGCTAATCCATGTTACAGAAACGAACTAGGAAGCTGTTTGGATTGTGAATAGCTCCCCTATCTAAGCCAACCACTGTGATAGACTCTGTGCTATTGCAGGAGCTGCTCGCTTGGGAGCTGGACGTGAGCACGAGCAAGGCGGGTGTAAGTAAGCAGGTGGCGGCCGTGGTTGTCCCTATGTTGCACCAGCTGCTCACGTGGCGGCTGCATCCACGTGCGGGAGTGGGCGCCAGTTAAATAGGGTCACTGGGATATGATGTGGTGAGGGGGATACCAGATGAGAACGGGATTTCGGCGATTAGGATGCACATTAGCACCTGCGGCTCAGTGTAGTAGGTCGTGCCTATCGGTTTGTGATACTGATGGGAAAAAAATTGGATCGAATGCATTCAGAATGAATCAAGCCGAAATTTCAATGTTGCATTTTAACAAAATTGTCGTGTAGCGTTTTGATAGTCATAACACCCTCCACAACATAACACAACCATTTAGTGCACTCAGAACCATTGCACGGGCTATTCGCGTAGCAGCTGAGCGTGACCTGTAGGGTGGCTGAGCGGGGAATGGCTGAGCTTAGTTTTTGGGGATTAAGTGGAGTTTGAAATGGGTAGGCATGTTGGCGCGACTGGTTTATTTGTTATCCGACGCTCGCGCTGAATCAGGAGGCACAGCTGAGCGACTGCGGAGACCGAAGCATCATGGCTGTCATGAGATGGGGAGGAGAGTAATCGATTACCCATGATCAGATTTTGAACTTTTCATTATAAAAGTTGCCGTCATATGGGCGTGTTTCTTTACATTTGATTTAGGTAGAGACAGCGAGTATTAGTCAGGAGCTCTGAAATGGCAGTTGCATGAGCCCGGTCGAAGCTCGGGCTTCCTATTAAATTGTAGAAGGAACGTGCGGCGTTAGCCGGCGTATCCCTACTGGTAAATATCAAAAAGTGTGAAACTACTGACCGTCATTGACTCATGTTGTAACGGCGACAAAAAATGAACAAACTGAGTGAAATGAAGTCAAAGACTCGAAAACAACAACAACAAATGTTATCAAGCACTCACACTCATTTACTCAATAAACTCAATAGGCGACGGTCAACACGAGGTAAGTTCATTTATCAAGAACATAACTAAGCTTATAAATTTTTGACTTATTAGATATTGATATGATTTAAAATAAGAAGACAATACACGATAAGATGGAAACCAGAGAGAAAGGTGAATTACTTTTATATTCAATGATATCTTTCATATAAATACACATATATACATAAACAAAAAAGTTGTTCACTTCATTCAGTACACAGTAAGAAGATACAATATTAAAAACGTTAAGAAAAATATTTTAAATGTTCAAAAAATATTTAAAATACTTAAAAAGTCAAAAACATACATGGCATCGCTTGCTTCCATAATCCTAAAAAATGCAAGTCATGCCCCATCAATTGGTCGTCGAATTATTGTAGAAGAAGACGCATCCTTAACGTATGCGCTTGTCGGGTGACGAACTGCGACATTCGGCAACAATAAGTAGTTATGGTTGACGTCCGAATGAAGGTGTTGCGGCGAAGGATGGCCTTGAACCGGGCCATCTCTCTGTTGACGTGACGACGTCGTTGGATATCCCTCGGGCGAACACGCTTCGGCTCCGCTCTCCTCTGTAAATAAATAGTGTTGGGAAGGAGATGTAGGTAACAGCTGGAGTGAAAACTGACCCGTTCAGCCTGGTCGAGGTTCCTCGTGCCTTCCCCACGAAGCCGTGCAGTGCGAGAATGAGGTCCGCCAAGGGGGAGCACCTCACTCCAAGCACAACTCCCAGTTCTCTGAATGTCATCAGATATTATGAGAGACACGAAAACGTTTCATAACCGTCACGAACAAACCTGTTGAAGGCTTCCGCTACATTAGTGGTGCGGAGACTTTTCTTGTTCCATTTGTTGCACATGTCCCTGAAAGGGCCCTCGTACCAGTTGCGCTGAAGGTAGTCGAGGAACTGTGCGCAGAACCCATACGCACCATGTCCCTAGGAACTGGTGGTTGGAAACGCGCGGGGACCCGACGGTGTAGGTGTGGTGGTAAAAAGATGAGTCCCCTTTATAGTGTTCCACCAACTTCCAATCCTCCTACACCGTTGGGGCCCCCTTACCTGCGGGAGCAACCCAAGATCATCCCTTTGTCTGTCCCCCGCGCGCGCTAAAT